TTCTGAGTCATACCAAAGAACAGGCATCCACATTTGAACTAGCACTATGGCCTTCTACTTTTGTAGAGTCCATTACAAACAGAAATTTCCATTTTTTTTTTTTTTTACGTTTTGGTTCTTTAGCACAATGCAACGAACAGGGAGTGACAATAGCGTAAGTCGTCCATGTGGGAACACCCGCAGAGATGCCTCGGCATGGAGGAGGCATAATACAGGTTGTGGCAGCGTTAACAAAATCTCTATATTCATTTCAAATCTATTTGAAGCATAAAGAAAAAAAGACTATCAACAAATAAAAATGTCGAACCAACAACAACAACAAAGAAAATACTAAAATACATTTTTAAGCTCCTAACCAACAAAAGAAGGTAAGAAATGGGACTTTCAGTTGATGACTGATGTTTTGTTATGTCAGACTGTGGTGAGAACAGGCATCCAGACACAGGCTTTTGTCAAGATAACCAAAGGCAATTGCCAAACCAACAGCCCTGGCACCGCTCCATGGACTCCAGCACAGAGGCACTGATTTACAGCCACTAAAAGCCTGGCCTGTGTTATTTCATTTTGCTGCCTAAACGACTTGTAATTCTGGGACCAGTCAATTTTCGTGTTGTTCGTGGCGGACACAAGGGAATGGCAACGTGCGACGCCCTCCTGCCAGGGCCCTTTCCCGCCTGCCTCGGTCTTCCCGTGCCCCCGCCAGTGCCCACGCGGCCCCGGCCACGTCCTGCTCACCTGCAAGGTGCACCCGAACACACCGATCATCAGCATGGCGACAGAGAGGTAGTCGGTGAACACGTCCCACCAAGGCTTCAGCACCCGGAAGGCTGGCTGCTGCTCCGAGAACTGCCGGAACTCGGTCACGGGAATCATCTTCCTGCAAGAGAGGCATTGGAGCACTGAGCCCTGCTGTGCTATCCCATCCCGTCCCATCCCAACTCCCAGCCCCTTCCAGCCACCCTTCCACCTTCATTCGCTTACATTTTCTCTGCTGTGGTTTCAGGGATGCTTTGAAGTACTCCTGTGCATTCCCACCACGGCTTTAAATGTACAGTGCTTGGAGCACGAGCCACCAGAGCACCTCAGCTAACCGAAACTGCAGGCAGCACGGGCGCACCAAGGGCTTTATCTTCACCTCCGCGCTGAGCCTTACATCACCGCTTCCTCCGAAAACTCAGCGAGCGTGTACAGGCAGAGAAACCCATCTCAAAGCCCACAGCACATTGTGCAACTCAATCCCAAGATCCAAACAGCGTAGAAACACCCCAGCGGGTTACGATGGCAGGATAAAGACACATGGGAAGGCAACTAAAACTGTCCCAAAGGACAAAAACTGCCTTCTGGAGAACGTGGTAAGTGCTCTGGCTCCTGCTGCTTGGCCAGGGCACAGAGGCTCTTGGCTGCGCGGGGCGATGGTATGCGGTACTCAAACAAACTCCCCTCGCTCTGCACGTGCTTATCTCCCCCGTGCTCAGCGGACACAAGAGTGGAGCCACGGCGCTTCAGCAGAGCGTGCCTGGGAGCTGCTGCCACCAAGCCTTCGCGTCCCACGTCTTCTTTTGAAAACCCACTGGAAAAAAACACCCACAGACCTCGGGCATTTGAGGAACCCCACGCAGCTTTCCGCACGCCCCAGCACCAGCGCAGACCCCTCGCAAGGCAGCACGGCGCTGGCGGGCTGCCCACTCCCTGTGGCTCCTGGGAATACTGCTGGCCGGAGCTGAAGAACGGCCTGAACTGAGCTCTCTGCGATCCCCGAGATGTTTCATGGCCATGGAGACAGGAGGCATCGCCCTCCTCCTCTCTATTCCCACACAGAGCCTTGGCAGCAGCAATAGCTGCTCACAAGCTCTACAAAAATCCCGGCTGAGGAGGGCCCACTTCCACAGGCGCAAAGCTGCCTGGCTGCCGCATCCGACAGGCACCCGCCTGGTTTCCAGGGCCCTTCGCGTACCATACGTTTGCTTGATTCCCCCTGAGTGACATGTAGGGAACTGAGAGGAAGGTGGAAAGTTCCTGGCACCACAAACACAGGCTGTGTGGTCCCTGGCAGCGCGAGGCTCCCCGCTGGAGCCTGCACGTATCGTCACCGTGGTCCGCGATGCACAAGGAGGGAGACCTGCTCGCGGGAGGCCTCTCCGAGCCGCGCGCGAAAGCCCCGCTTTCCGTCAGGACAGGGGCTTCTTATCAGCTGACTGAAAATTATACCTTTTTTAATTCTTCAAATACAGTGCTGCTGAATGATGATGATGTTATTGCATATGGTGACAGTAAAGAAAGGGGCAACACCTGCCTAACAAGAGACCACTGGACAGAGTGTGCAAGAAGCATGAGCTGTCTTTTACTCAAAGAGTGGTAAATGTCCCTCCTATGAATTTCAGTTCACCTGCACTCAAAATGCTGTTTACTGACATGACATAGTCTGTGCATGGGACAGACATGGGACATGTGCACTCTGACCGATTAAATATTACTCTAACCCACTTTAAGGAATTATTGAATTCTAAATATTGAACTAATTTGTTCAATTAAAATCAGAATGTTTTCTTCTATTTTTCCTCTCTCATACATTTTAAATCATCCCTAGAGAAAACAAAATTGTATGTGAGATAGATTATCTAGTTCCCTGCTACCAGAAGGAGTCCCAGAAGGGGCTCAGGTTAAGAGAAGTTGTACTGGCTGCAGAAAAGAGCTGAGGGTGCCAGATTGAAGAGGGGAGAGAGAAATTAGAAGAGATTTTTTATTATTATTTTAAAGTTTCTAGGAAATGCAGAAGACTAGATGGGTGAAGACCAATGCACAATAATGAGAGGGAATACTGGGCCAAGTTGCACGGAGGATGTGCAACGAGCACCCAGCTCCCCCCGCAGAGGAAAGGGAGAGGCAAATATAGCATCCTGAAGGAACGTGCAAGGACTTGCAGATAATAAACAAACAGATATGGCCCCCGCTGGAAATAGAGACGTGGAAGAGAACCAAACAAAACATTCAGGTCCAAACTCCCCGCTGATGTAAACAGGCATGGTTTCCAGCTAAATCTCAGATATTTGCTCCAGCGGCAGTACTGACCGCAGAAGGCAGCTAATGCATAGGCAATTGGGAGCAGGGCACGATGCCTTAATGGGACCTCGAAGAGCTAGGGGGAATAAATAGATCTGAGATGGGGGGAAGAAAAGTCCTGGGAACAAACATGACCCATTAATAAATGAGAGCGATTAAACTCAAGGTCGCCTCCGATGGGGCCGCGCTGCAGCGCGCTGCGGCTCCGCTGCAGCGGGGCGAAGGAGCACGGCGAAGCGCACGCCAGGGGAGCCCCTCAGCACACACTGGCAGATGGGGCAACGCACACTGTGAAGGACACGGGTGTCCCGCGGGCCGGCGGCTGGAGAAGCGCTGACGAGGGCGCTTCCCGGCTCCGCATCCACCCCAGCTGCACGGGGGCCCTACGGCCAGCGGACCCCGCTCCCCCGCTGCAGCGTGGCTGCGCTGGCCTTGCTTGTGCCCGGGGAGGTTCTGCACTTCCAAAGACGCTTTCCCGCTACAAGGAAATGGCGCATTAACATCCACAGGCACCTCCAGCACAGCCTCGAACACTTGAGCTTCTGGCGCTGCAGAGCTGCCCAGCCCCGTGCGCCCGCTATCGCTAGGTAACTGTTGCTATTTTTAAGCAATTCTGGCAGAGTAACTTAATTCACTCTCAGCAGCGGGGCTTTGAATGAATCCACACCCGGCTCCAGGCCGCGCTGGCGGACACTAAAGCCCTGCATGTGGCCCCATGCATGCTCCAGCCCGGCTCAGTGTGGTCCCAGCACCTTCGGGACGAGGAGACACCAGGGAGCAAAACGTGAGGAAGCCAGTGGACAGCCCAGCGCCGGGGAGCAGGGAAGGGGAGCGGAGCAGGGGCAGGATGAGCAGGCCGCTCCCCTCCCTGGGAACGGGAAGGCCGGCGGGATGTCTTGCCAGCAGCGGGCCAAGGAGGCGCATGACCCCAGTCCATGGGGACTGAACCCAGCCTGCCCATCGCTGCACTGAAGGGGAGCGCTGAGGAGAGCGGCGTGGGGACTGCTCTGCCAAACAGAGGCCTGAGAAAGCGCTGGGCTCAGCAAAACCCGCTGCCCTTGCTGCTTGCAACATGTTGCACACACTTGGATAAATTATGAAAGGCCTTTGGGGACTTCTGCTGCAAGCAGGTCCCTGGGCTAGTTCCCATGCATGATTTATAGCGTATTCATCTTCATTAAAGGCGCGGAGCACGGCACATCGTTAGCATGAGGCGGCCACAGTTACGGGAAGCAGGAGCCGTGCCCGGAGCGGCGCGGGGATCGCCCATGTCCCCGGGCCCCGCTCGGTGCCAGGGCTGGCCCCGTGCACACTTCCAAGGGCTCCCACGAGGCGCTCCCGGCGGTACCACAGCCACCTCCGACCCGGAGCTAAAGTGCTCTCCAGCCCTGTCTTCCCTTAAAATGTTTTAAAACTATGATTTAACCAAAAATTACTCAAATCTTTTCTAAGAACAAGCTTAGCAGAACGCACATTAGATTATATATAGTACAAAACTTGCTGTTTTCCAGGTGCCGATGCTGTGGAGCACAGCCCCACGTTTGCCCTGTGTATGAGGGATGCCCGTTTCTGTGCTGGCACTGGCTGCCCACAGCAGGCCCCACTGTACACCCCTGGAAATTGTGGTTCTCCTGTGGCTTCTGCAAATGCAGCCCCTGGAAGGGCTGACCCCTGGGTCTGTGCCCGGCACCTCGAGCCATGGGAAAGGCCTGGCCTCGCTTAAGCGCTTTACCAGGCCAGACAGAAAGCAGACGCATGGGCAAGGCACAAAGTTTGGAGAATAGATTAGACTAAAGGGGAAATACTGTGATAAGGGCTGTAATTAGCAATCCTAATTCCCAAGGGCTCAAAGATACACTCTTATCCGAGATCCTATATGTGGGATTGTGGGTACAGTGAAAAAGTGCCCAAACTACCCCAAAGTTCAGTTCTGGTAATTATCTTGCTATATATTTGTAAAAATGTATTTGCATATATCTGTGTGTGCATATATATATATATATTTTTTTTTTTTTCATAATGTCTAGCATTGGGTCAGTGCAGGCTTGGCCAGTTCACATGCAAAATACAGTGAATGCCTCTATGATAACTTCTCTCTATATTTGAGGTATTTAAGGATAACTGTCCCCATAGTGAGGCTTTCTTTACATTGGTGTTCCCAGTGAAAAAATGCTGTTGAAAGCTACATTGAAAACCGACTACTTGATAATTTGGCAAAAAAGTATCACTCATTGCCAGCCTTCCCAAATGCAAGCGGCTACTTTTAGCTCTGTTAATTATAACAGAGGATTTCATAGCAAAAAGGAAAGATCAGAATTTGGAAGTTAGAAATACAAACAAATGATACAGTTGCTCCAATATAAATCCAACATTAAAAGAGCTGGAAAGCTTTTAAAAGCCATTTAAAAAACAATCCGTTCACATCCAAACAGTTATTTTTAAAAGTCTGTGTGTTTACTGCATTTTCAAACAAACTACTTGAAATTCTGCATCTCGGGGCTGGGGCTGGCGAGGAAAGGCGGCCCCGAGGCTGAGCAGAGCGTGCGCGAGCGCTGCCGCCCACGGCCCCGCCGTGCCCGGCTGCCGAGCACGGGCACAGCCACTTGCTCCAGGAGCAGGAAACATCAATGAGCAGTGCTACCACTTGGTAGTATAACATATTTTGCAAGCTCTCTGAAAACAACTGAGTCTAAACTGAGCGCGAGTTAAAGCTTGCCCTGTGCAGCCGCTGGCATTAATCCGATGTGATACCACATGCAACAGAAGTTATCTGGGTCAATTCATGGCAGTTTGCGTTCTGGGGAACAGACGAAA